ATTATTTGAGAGTGTGAAAAAAATGGGGCCAAAATTGTGATCACTCTTTCATTTTACATTAAATTTATACAAATTTCGGCTATTGATCCTAAAGTTATGATTTTGACCTTAAAATAATCTTAAAGAGTTAATCTTGAGCTGTATTGAGGATTTTAGCAAAATATTGTTTCGTTTTTTTGTTTTGTATTGAGTTGAAGTTAGAAGTAACACTTTTTTCAACTTTGAAAAATCATAAAAAATTTTCAGATTAATATTCTAAGCCAGAAAATGACTGCATTTTATTTTACTCGTTTTAAACTCAACAAGTTGCTGGTTTACTCTGCGAGTACCGCCATTGCTTGTGTAACCACTTTTCAAGTTGTCTATCAACGACAAGTAAGTGAACATTGTGCTAGAATTATTTACTTACACTTTTAAATCTTATCAGCGTCACAGAGTTCTTTCCGAATCGCCTATTTCAAAACAACTTCAACAAAAAATTTTGTCGGGTTTTGATGATTTTTTTGTTAATTACAAAAGACAAAATGAAAAACTTGCCAATTTTTGCACTGATTTTGTTGCTGGTGAGTTTGAGAATGATTTAACTGGTGTAAATGTGCCTAATGATCAGACGCAAAGTTTGGTGCCAAATGAAAATGTTCTCAATTGGACACCACAATTGTACATTCGACTAATGCAAAACTTCAGACTTGAGAAAGACATTGTAGTACACCTGGCAAACAGCTACGGAGATGAAGCTTTTGGTGTTGCCAGCTTGGCAACAGTCAGCGGAAAACGGTGGGCAGTTGTCGGTCGTCGACTGCATCCCGAGTATCCCTATCTGGAAGCAGAACTACGATTTGCACTACGGAAAAATGTTTTTTGTTCGGTCGTAGATTTTTTCTCCAAACAAGCACTATTATCTCAGTTAAGTGTGATTGATAAACTAGAAACTTTACCACAAATTGTCGCAATCATGGGGTCTGAGTTAAAATGGAGTGAAGAACGACAAAAAGAAGAATTGAAAAAACAAAAATATATCTAAACTTGTAAACAGCCAAACTGATACACAAAGTTGATTTAGTTATAATTTTTATTTTGGCAAGGTTTCAGAAAATTAAATTGTCAATCAAGTCAAAAATGAGTCATTTACAGCTTAAAAATTCCCTTAAAGATTCCTTCTTCCTCCTGGTCATCCTGGTCCTCTTCCTCTTTTACCTCTTCTTTATTGGGCTCCTTTGTGCTGTTACTTTTNTATTTGACACCTTAATCATTTTTGTGGTATTACCCGTTTTGGCAAAAAATGTACCTGCGTGATTCAAGATCTTGCTGAAAAAAACTGTTGACTAGAAAAGGAAACCAAAAATTCGAAAAAAGTTGCTATATGCACGTTGTCCCCTCTTAAGTGTGATTGATAAACTAGAAACTTTACCACAAAATGTCGCAATCATGGGGTCTGAGTTAAAATGGAGTGAAGAACGACAAAAAGAAGAATTGAAAATAGCAAAAATATATCTAAACTTGTAAACAACCAAACTGATACACAAAGTTGATTTAGTTATAATTTTTATTTTTGGCAAGGTTTCAGAAAATTAAATTGTCAATCAAGTTAAAAATGAGTCATTTAAAGCTTAAAAATTCCCTTAAAGATTCCTTCTTCCTCCTGGTCATCCTGGTCTTCTTCCTCTTTTACCTCTTCTTTATTGGGCTCCTTTGTGCTGTTACTTTTCATTTCCAGCATCTCTTGCTCTTTTTGCAGCAGGTTAACCGCTCCAGGAATTGAGCTCTTGCATTCAGTGCAGAGAAAGGGAAACAGAATCTGACACGAAGCAGCAGATGTGGCACAGGAACCAGAGACAGGTTGGGAACAGTCTTCGCAGGCGACCATCGAAGAAAAAAGATGAAGAGCAGAGCAGTCCATTTGCTGGGGAATGCAGATGGAGTATTTTGGAGTAGCATTTGCCTGAATAAAGTGAACAGATTGTAGAAAAAGGAAAATGGTGATAGACACAATTGAAAACGACGCCATTTTGTTAAGATGCAAGGTTAACATAAAAATGCTGACAAAAATAATTCTTGTATTTAAAGATAATAAGAATTGCGAGTGAAAATACGGCTTTATAAAGATGCCTACGTGAAAAGAACTGGTTTTCTCTACAAAAACTTTTTCATTTTAAGTATTTGCTTGCCAAGAGATCAAAGTTCAATGTCGCCGTCCTTGAAAGTTCATTGATTCTGTTGCTTTCTAAACAAAGTTCAAAAATAAATTCCGGTTTTTTGTTTAAAAACGTTTTTAAAAAAATTTGCGGAAGTGAAAATAAAGTGTGAAAAGTTTAAAAAACAATATTTGCACATTCATTAACAATTCTATTTCCTTAAAATGTTATAATATTGTTTGCATTCTAAATTAGAGATTCTAGTTGAATTTATAGAAGTTTTTATAAATTTTTCACAACAATCCCGAGTTTTTGCTATAATCTACTGGTCACTTTTGTCCACATCAGAATAAATTTTGTTTGATTGAAGATAGTTGAAAGCAAATTTTAGCTAAAAGCAACAATGCCTCGAAGTGTTGGCCGAGCCCGAAAAGCCGCTTCTGTAACCGACAAAAGCACCAGCAGCAGTTCGTCCGGCCATGATGACTATGGCGTCAAAGCAAAGAAGCGATCAACTGCTCGCCGATTCTCTCAAACGACCAAGCGTTCTTCCTCCACGCTTGGCAAACGTTCCAGTGGACGTCGTCGTCGTTATGGAAGCAGCAGCCGCAGCAATTCCAAACGCAGCAACAGCAACAGTCGAGGCCGCGTAGGCAAAAGCCAACGCAAAGCACCTTCTCGTAATGAGAATGCATCCTCGAGCAGCTCAGACAGCTACGACGAGTACTGCGACGACGACAGCTACTACGATCAGCAGTCTGCCTCGAGCAGTCGTAGTTGTCGTCGTCGTCGTCGCACGACTTCCACTACCACTAGAAGTAGTTCTGGCAAACGTCGACGGACTAGTAAAACTTCCGCCAGTGGAAAGAGAATGAAGAAATTCAGTCGCAGCCGCAGCTTCTCTGGCACCAGAAAGTCGTCGGTCAAAACAAACCGACGCAAACGCCGAAGCACCACCACCAAGACCAAGGCCAGACGCCGTCGTCAGCAGAAAAAGCAAAGCACGGCCACGCCCCTTGGCAGTCGCAAGCAAGCATCTATTCACGAGCGCTTCCGGGAGTCGCTCAGCTCACTGCAAGCCAGCCTGCGAACTATTTCGAGTTCTGTTGAGAGCTGCAACCCGAAAAGCTCAGAAGTGGTTCTCTCGCTGCCCATTCCACAGCAGACTCCCTCACCGGCAAAATCAGAAGACAAGGTTGATGAGGGCACTCCCTTGACTGACAATGTCTTTTTGGACGATGTCGAAGAACAGTCGTCTTCGATTGAAATCCAGGCAACGCTGGAAATGGAAGTGCAGTCTGAAGTTTCTTCACTCAGCACTGTTGAGCATACTGAGACGCAAGATGATGAGGAGACGCAGGAGTCTCAGGTGTCTTCTCTCGGTCTCGACACAAGCAGCATCTATTCGAGATCGTCTAGCCATGTGGAATTGCCCTCGCCAGTGTCAGAAACCTCCTTCCAGGTGACCGCCAACTCGTCTAGCCTTAAGGATCTGCATGAGGGCAATGCTGTTTCTGCCAATCTGACTTCTCACAACCAGTCCCAGTCACCGACACCTGTGGGCGTCAACGAGACAGTCTCTGGTCTTCTGGATCGTGTTGAAGCGGAACAGAAGGATCAGACTGATCAAAAAGAAGAAGAAAAATTTTTGGACGATCTGGTGAGTGTTCGCTTGACAATGCTCAAAAACTTTGTCAGCAAGGTGGAAGCTAACATGGTAAACTTGCCGGTGATCAGCAACAAGTCAGTTGTTGAACAAGATGACCAGGTGCCGGTCACCCCGAAAAGCAAAGACAGCATCAAGCAGCCATCGTTGCGCTCTCTTGAGGAGTTGCAAGAAATGCTAAACCATTGCGTCGACTGTCGATCCTCTTCCAGTGGGCAATCCGAAGAGGAAGAGGAGAAAAATGATGGCTCTTCAAAGGTGGTGATGGAGTCTGCCACACCCGAGCAGCCAAAGGACAAAACTGATGTGGAGGAGGACCACTTGGTCGTGAACCACAACTTCAGTGACAACAGCAGCCTTAGTTTGTCTATTCGAAGCGCTGATTGATGAGCTGCATCTTGCATTGGCTACTTGTTGAAGCCCCAATTTTGGGCTTATTTATTACTTTTGCAAAATTAAAAGCAGTTTCATGCTTTACTTTTTTGCTTTGACTAAATGTGGTTCATTTTTTACCCACATTTGTTTTGTTACGTTTGATACATTTAACTTTTTTTGCAGTTTATCATGTGCACTACTTTGCTGCGTAAAAGTACAGTTTAAGTATAGGCACTTTAATCAAAGATAAAGTTAGTTGCAATAAGAAAGAGCATACATATTACTCATCATACTTGTCGAGTGCGAGGAAAATTAAAGTGTACTGTAAATAAAAGTAAACTGACTCCCGTGAAGACCATTTGTAAATTATTTTTTATAAAACGATGATGTAGCATACTTTTTAAGAAAACATCATTTTAAAGCATTCATAACAGTTTCGACCAATCTAGTCATGGGATCTTTCAAGTTATACTTTAAAATACTCACTCTCCTGTGCATCATTGTGATGGCGCTGATGACAGTGCTGTACAATTTCAACGTGCAACCTCACTTTACAAATGTCAACAAATGTCAAATGCAATGGAGTTCAACCAAAGAAGAGATTAACTTTGAGAAGTACCTCATCCACACGCCAAACTGTGCCATTGAACGCATTCCCCTCTTCACGCCTGACACTGCCCACATGTTCAGGCGGTACCAGAGTCGAGAGTACGACTGTCCGCCTGATGACGGCAGTGCGGCCATCAAGCGGGTAAACTTCACCTGGGTTCAAGTGCCGGTGGAGAACTGCGTCGCAAGGGAGGTGGAGAGAGAAGCTTCAACTGAAGGCGGACAGTACGGCAGAACCTTCTACTTTGGTAATCGGACGGTGATGAACTTTCCCACTTCAGACGCTCTCATTGTGGCTTGTCGCAACTTTCAGCTTCAGCGTATCGTTCCGTTGATTCCGCACAAAAAGCCGCTGTATTTTAGCAAATCAAATCCAAAGTCGCAGAACAACAGAGCTAATCGACCAAATATTCTGGCAATTGGAGTCGATTCTATCTCAAGATTGAACATGCTGCGACATTTTATAGAGACAAAAAAGTTCATTGATGAGAAGCACTTTGAAGGTCCACTTTACGGGCTGCACAAAATTGGCGACAATACATGGCCAAATCTTATAGGAATGTTTACTGGACTTGATTTAGAGGGAGTGGAGAAGACGATACCGGACAGTAGAAAGTTGGACAACGTCCCGCTAATTTTTAAAGAGTTTTCAGCTGCAGGTTACATGAACACTTACATTGAAAACATGGTGAGTATTGATAAAAGGCAACAGTCGTTTACTAAGTACATAACATTTTTTCAATTCAGCCAAACTTTGGTTTGTGGACGTACCACTGGAAGAATGGCTTCATCCATCAGCCCATTGAGTACTGGATGAGGCCGGTAAACATTCTGGTGTTTAAAGAATTACAACGCCACTACTGCTACAAAGAGAAACTTGAAATGGAGGTACAGTAGTGAGTGAGTGCACTTTAAAAGCTCTAATATACTTTCTGTTTTTTTCCAACAGCTTTACTTTGACTACTTAATTGATCAGATGCTAGCTTTTCGACAAAGAGACCAGCACTTTCTCAGCATTGTCCACATGGCCTCAGTAACGCACGACTTTCTCAATTACGCTCAGTACGCCGACATGCCCGTTCTGCGCTTCTTAAAGCGAGTATATGAGCACCACCTGAACAGTAACACGGTGATAGTCTTCTATTCTGATCACGGTCTGAGGATGGGCCCGGTGATGGTGACCGAATCAGGATACCACGAGTCGCGGCTGCCATTCATGTACTTTAGTATTCCGCTTTCGTTGAAGCTAAAGGATGAAAACGGAAAGGCGATAGGGGAAACTCAAATTCGGCAGACACTGCGTCTCAATGCTCGTCGTCTGACCAGTCAGTTTGATGTTCACGCGACGCTGAGGCACCTGCTGCTGGGACAGCCGCCGCCGCGCACAACCGCAGATGAACCCTACGGTCGATCACTATTTACAGCCATTCCACTAAATCGAACCTGCCAAGAAGCGGGCATTCCTGATGAGTTTTGCCTGTGCCATCCTTTCACTGAACTGGCCAACAGAGAAACAGTTTCGGCGCTGGCAAACTTCATGGTTGACCTGCTCAACGAGAAGCTGCAAAAGTATGCCTACAAATGTGTCCCACTGAGTCTAGTTACAGTGCTCAAGGCGAAGATTGCCGCTGACCTGACGAATGACGGTAAGCCTAAAATGCGACAGTTCCTGCTGCGAATCGTCACAGCGCCAAATACTGGGACAGTTGAAATGGCCTTCAAAGCTCTGGCCGATGCCAGTGGGCGACTAGTGGATGGCACAAAAACGGCTAAAGCAGTCAGTGGCGTTCTTCGCCTGGACCAGTACTGGCAGCAAAGTATTTGTGTTGCAAACACTGCCGTGGAGAGTATTTGCTACTGTAGAAACTTGATCAAATAGTGATCTAGTGAAAGAATTTACTCGGATTTACCAGTAAGACAACTTTGTCAAAAAACAATTAAAACAAAGCAAAGTTAGTTTTTGAGTTGTAATTTTCAAACTTAAAACTAAAATAATTGCTTTTTAGACAGTTTCAGAGTCAACAAAATCTAAGGGAAATTTGACAAAAGTAAACTTTGTATTTGCGATGACCGGCACATCAACAGAGCCAACACGACGGCACTTTCCAGATCGACAGGTGCATAGGTACGGGTCCCCGCATTCAGTGGTGAATGAGCACTTTTTTGTAGGGCAGACTTTGGTGTCTACAGGCGATGGAGGAAGTAGTAGCTGAAGAATACAGCATGAAACATTTTTAGGGCTGAAATTTATGATCAAAGAGAAAAGAAGAATGGCAATAATGGTAGTCCGAAATGTAGACATTTTTTTGGCTTGAATAAATAAAGTATAAACATGATAAAAGTTAGCTTATGTTGCAAAAAAGTGTAATTAATTTGGAATTCTAAAGAATTGAGTTGCAACGCAAATTAATTATGCACTCAACTAATGCTAAGAAGCAACTTTAGAATTATACGGTGGTATTATCTAAAAAAGTTTTCATTAATTTGCACCCGAATAGAAAGTAAACAGGTTTTTGCAGTAAACTAGCAGGGGTACAATTGCAAAAAAGGCTGAAAATGTACTTGAGATTCAAATTAAAGATTCTCTGTTAAAAATAACACAAAGAAAATGCTTAATGATTCAAATTCTATTACTGTTACAATCTAATATTAAATTATTGTCCTTAACTATTTTAACATTTTTTAACAATTTTTTTGAAAATTACATTTTTTAACAAAAAATACAAAAAGTAAATAAAAATAAAACTACTAAAATGCAAAAATCATTAGACCTATTAGTAAAATTATAATTATTGTGCAAAGTATCATTATGGTCAGTTCAATTCTTTGAACTAGTAGAAAGAAAGCAACAAAAACATTGTACCCGTCACTGCTGTTGCGTCCACAGCAAGCTGTTTTAGCAGGTACTTTGCAGAAAATGTACACACACAAACTGAGCACATGAGCACATCTCCCTTCTTAATTAGAGTGTGTCTGCAATCACTGACCAAGCTTCACAGGTACAGACGACAAGCAGATGAGTGCACAAAAAAATACATAACAGAAAGGAAGCTTTCTCTTCAGTGTAATCTTTGCCTTTACTTGCCAATCAGTGTCGATCTGTATATAAAAGAATGCAGAAACTGATTCAGTGGTACACACACTCAAGTGTAAACATCAACGAAGATCTTCTAATCAGCTATCTTCAGCAAACAAAACATGGCATTCAAGCTGATTCTGGTCTTGGCTGCTGTCACCCTCTCAGCTGACTTGGTGCTCAGTCAGAACTGCGGTCCCCATCCACTGGAGGACATGGACGAGCTGATTGCAAACATCATTCCCTTTGGCAATCCCAAGCAAAAGGCACCCACTAAGGTAGAAGATCTGCCCGGATTTTGCAGGTAAAGATTTCAGTCATTCTCTCAAAAAATTTAAACTAATCTAAACTTTTCAATGCAGCTACTACAAATCTGCCCTGAACCAGGTGGATGAAACCAACAAGAAGTGCATCAAGACGGGCCACCGATCGATGGTCAACGTGGTTCTGCTGAACATTCGCAAACGCGCCAAGGACATCTGCTCGACGAGCAAGTCACCGGAGGCGCAGGCCAAGCGAAAGTCCTTCGTCCAGCTGGGCAAGTGCATCCACTCGGGCGGTGACAAGCTGAAGCAGTGCATCGCCTCCTCCAAGGACAAGATTGTCACCATTGAGAATGCGCCCACCGAGAAGCGACTTGGTCTGCTGTGCTGTGAGCTGAAGGCCCTCAAAGGCTGCCTTTTCAGCACACTGACCGCTCAGTCAGGCTGTGACAGTGAGTCCTCGGCTGAGAAGATGCGAGCTTTTGTTGCCACCTTTGGCGGTGGCCACCTGTCGACGGCCTGTGCCGATCACGTCTCCGGGAACAAGTGCAGCGGACTGAGCTACCCGCGCAAGAAGAAGTCACAGCACACTCCCAAGTCATTCATGATGCCGGTTCTTAATGTGCTCAACAGCCTCTAATTGCACTTCCTTGCAACGACAACTGGCAATAACCGTATCTCAACTTTTAGTTCTTTTGATTTTAGTTTCTGCTGAAAAATCAAGTAAAAATACTCAATTTACTTTATGAAATGTGCTACCAAATAGTGTTTAAAAAGTAAAAATGATTACTGCTTGATAACAAATCTTAAGCATTGTCACTTTAGTGTTGCAATGTAGTTGGACATTGTTCAATTGAAGATAAACACTTGTACGCTTTGTGAGCAACGATAACAAAACAGCATATCATTTTTGACAATTAAAATAAACTGTCAATAGTTATTAAAACATGCCCAATGCAATAGTCTTGAGTGTTTCAGCTGCTTCCTTTCTCACGTCTTTAAGGTTTAAGTTACGGTGGCTCAAATTGATTACTTTCACTTGTTTTTTATATAAAAACAAAACCAATTTTAAAAATAGTCTACAGTAAAACAAAAAGCAAAATTTACAATCTTAGCTAAAAAATGAAGTTCCTATTTGCCATCGTGGCCGCTCTGTCGGTTGCCTGTGTTACTGCTGATCCCAATGACCTGATTGACGTGACGGTGAACTCGGCAACGCTGACTCAATCTGGCAACATTTTCCTCAAGATGTACGGCATCAATTCCAATCAACCAGTTCCGGTAAATAAATTGTCGGCACATTTCAACCAAGTTCTGACTAGTATTCAATTTCACAGATTCCAGTCAATGTTTCTACCCTGAATGGCCAAACCTACGTAGATTACACGACTCCAGTGCAAAATGGAACCAACAATCCAAACTGGAGTAACACTTATGCGTTTTCTAACTTTTTCTTCACTCCCAACTCTTACGTGATTTTTGAAATCTGGAACGCCACCTACGACAGCCAGAGTGATGTTAACTTTCTCGGTGGGGCTGAGTTGAAAATCTCCCAGCTGCAGACTTTGCAACCCCCAAGCAACAACATCGTACTCACCAACAATGAAGGTCTATCTCCGGGACTGATCAGCGTTACTGTGCAAAGCAATCAGTAACTTGTGTTGTCGTAAATAATTGTCAGACAATTTTTCAATAAGTTAAATAAACATGATATCATGACACACCTTTGTTGTACTTTTTCGCTTAATCGATAACCATTTTCTGAAATGCAGCTACCACCTTTTCATCCATTTCNCCACTTGTTTTTTATATAAAAACAAAACCAATTTTAAAAATAGTCTAGAGTAAAACAAAAAGCAAAATTTACAATCTTAGCTAAAAGATGAAGTTCCTATTTGCCATCGTTGCCGCTCTGTCGGTTGCCTGTGTTACTG